CGGAGTAACAGGATGGGGAGCGACCCTAGAAGATAAAGTCTTGGCTCGCCTCCCCGTTTCTGCATTTCCAAGGGCCCACCTGAACGCGGGGGCCGCCTTTGCGGGGCTGTGGGGGGTTTCCCCCCTCTAACCCTGAAGGGCAAGGAGCTTTCTGCCTCCAATTTTCTCTTCCGCTCTCTCTCTCTCTGCCCGGTGGAGGTAGGAAGAGGTAGTTCATGGCAGCCAACGGCTCTCTGGACGCACACGGCTCCCTGCTGGATAATGGCTTTGCCGGCCCCGACGACCTCGTTTCGGACTGGTACATCTACGAAACCATGGAGCCGGCCGTGCCGCAGGACGAGTAAGTGTGGAGCCCCCCCGGGTGCGTCGCGTCCCACCGCTCCTACCTCCCTCTGTTTACGCTGGGCCGGCGCCGGCTTTCCCAGCTGGGGAAGAAGAGGGGCTGCTATATCCCCTCTCCTTACTGCTGTGTCTCCCAGACAGTTCGGTCGGGGTTTGTTCTCTCTCTCCTGGAATGATTCACCAAGGCGAGAGCTTTGCCATTTGCCTCCAGCAATTCATGCAACCAGCTTTGGTGCCTCGGTTTCCCCCCATCTGAGGCACGACCAGCCCCGTGGGAGCTCCGGAGCTGCAATGCTTTAGTCCGTGTCACGCTGTTAATCAGAGCAAAGCCCTTCTGCTGCACTGCTTCCCCCTAGTCTGGTTAGGAGGTGAGACCGGTGGCTGGCAGCCCTGCTGAGCAGTCGATACCTAAGAAGGCACCAGCCTTTTCCCCTCTTTGCCTTCCTGTGTCTCCTGTGCGTAAAGCCGACCTGCTGCTGAAATACATGGCAGCGCGTCCTGGGCTAGTGTGGCCAGTGGCATTGATCTGCGCTCTTCTGCAACGCCAGCCTGGTGTGGGGGGGAAGAGGAGGTTGCCTCGCTGCCCCCCAGTACCCTCCTGCTTTGTGTGATGGGATGTGCTGCTGCTGCTTATAATGCGCAGCTTGGGGCAAGCAGATGCCGGCCCCGCTTCGGCTTTGCTGGGGTGCAAATGACAGCAGGGTCCTGCCATGCTGAGAGCTTCCCCTTTCACATGATTGTGGGTCAAGTGGCTTGTATGGACCCATAGAAATGCTTCCCTTCTTTGGGGTGCCCCTGGTAGGAGAAGGTGTGTCCTGCCGTGGGTGTCTCTACTAGATACACTCCCCTTTGCTAAGGAAAGGCACCTCTCCTTTCCTTGCTTTGAGGCACCAGTAGACAAGTGCTGTTTCCTTGAGCCTCCGAGCATGGGCAGCTGATGGAAACCCTAAAAGCTCCCGTCTCCCTTGTTGGCTGTGCAGACTGAGGGGTGTCACTGCTCCTAGCCTCCCCCTGGTTGCAAAGTGAGGTGTATCATGTTAATCTGCTTCCCTGACCCCTCTTGTTACAGCTGAGGGCCAGGAACTGTTGCATGGGTAGTGCTGTCAGTCCAGGGGTAGTTTGGCTAAGTAGGTCACTGTGCTTGCAGCCCAGGCTGAGGTTTTGTCCCGAGGAGGTGACAAGCAAACACTTGGTGGTTGCAGAGCCAGATGGCTCTGATGGAGGCTTAAAACCTGGAGCCATCACGGGGTGGGGGTGGGGGGGCCGTGGCTTCACCATGGGTCTGGGGGTGGATGGCGCTGCCAGCTCCTGCTCGGGGAAGGGCTGAGCCCTTCTCTGACCAACTGCTTCTGGTGACTCTGAAGCCTCTAAAGGCTTTGACTTGCCGAGAAGGTTATTCTAGCTCTCTGTTTCTGGGTTTGAAGAGGTAAGTGCAGCTGGGGGAATAATCTGGACTTTTGGATACTCTTGCAGATTTGCGCTAGGGCCTACATGAGTTGGCAGCACACACCGATCTGCTTAGAGAGAGGGGCTGAAGCTGCAGCCTGTGGGGTGCTGGAGACTGCGTTCCTGAACCGCGCAGAGACCCTGAGCGGTTTTTCTGCTTGTAAAACAGGGCTGGGCATCCTTGGGCTTGCATGACAGTTTGGTTGCCCAGTTCCTTCCCCTCGCATATTGTTATATCAGCGGGTCTAGGAAAGACTATTCCCTCTCCTCACACAGAGATCTGCACGTTAATTAGCCATGCTCCTAGAAGTAGTGCCGCTTTTATCTGGCTGAGCACCGACTTGACGGGACAGGGGCATTTCAGGGGTGCGTTTGCTGGTCCCTCAAAGCCGCCGGCCCCGGTGCTGCTGCGTTGGGGAAGTCATGCTGTGGAGGACCAAGGACTCGGTGCTCCTTTTCCCCCAGCTGAGTGCGCGTCACAAAGGCAAGAGAAATGGTTGTGCCACGCTACAGAAAGGGAAACTGAGGCACAGAGCAGAGAGGCAATTTATTCAAGGTGTCCTGCATGGCCAGTGACAGGGCTAGAACCCAGGTGACCTGGGGCCCATCTGTTAGCACCTGTTGTCCCTCTGTTGACTTAGCTGCCTGCGGGTGGGTTTTATACTCTTCAGTCAGCTGATATCTAATCCTGAGCAAGAGCAGGAATAGATCCTAGTGGTGACCAGCCCAGCTCATGCCAAAGGGTTATTCCTACTCCTTAATCTTCTGTGTTGTGAAATAGCTTTTGAAATGTCCTTGCCCAGCCTTGGGGAGCCCTCCCTGGTAAGCACCTTGGGAAGGGCTGCTCCCCCTCCAACACCACTGATAAAAACCTTTGGGGTGTTTGTTCACAAGAGTGGTTGCTCTCTCCTCCTGGGCCTCCTCTGTTGCAGCAAGCCATGGATGGTGTGTGGATGGAGACAGCACACGGTGGGTGTTTGTGTGTCCTCCTCACGGCCTGGCTCACAACAGCGTCTGGAGCTGTGCTTCCCTCTCAGGTCCTATCACCTGGGAGCACAAGTTTAAACCCAGCTTGAGCAGGGGCACACGATGGTGGTTCTGCCTAATGAGCTGGGATATCAGAACTTGGAGGTTCAGGGGAAACAAAGCCAGCAAAGACACCATGTCTGGTGTCATTGCCCGATAGTTTCAGAAATGGCAAAAAGGAAAGTGTGCTTGGCTGAACACTTAGATCTGCATGAAGGTTTAGATGCTGGAGCCCTGCTGAAACCAAAAGGGTTTCAGAGTTGAAGTGCTGCACCCACACCATAGTGCTAGCAAACAGAAGCACGTCACAAGGTTTCTTTGCCCCTGAAACTCAAGGCTGTGCTGCTGTAAGGGACTCTCCGGGAGCACCGGTTCCTGTCCGGCCAGCCGTGGTTCCCCCAGCCATGCCACCCCAGCTCACCCCAGGCTGTGCTCTTCTGTTTGTCTCTGCAAGCTGGGCTCAAAGGAAGCCAGGTCTCCTAGGTTGCAGGTACTGGACTTTCCTGCCTTTCTTCCCTCTCTATTTTGTTATCTCTTTCCTAGGGGAGTAGAAACATGAATCTGCCCCTTCTTAACCTTTAACAGAGACCAGGAGGCTGCTGGGGAGTTTCTGTATTGAACCAGGCCTAGTACATCACAAGGCCGGTGCCACTTTATTTCCTCCAGGTTTGCTCAGGCACCTGCTTGGGGCCGGTTGGGCCCTGATCGCTCGGGGTGTGATGCGACACGTGTGCTCTGAAGGGACCTAGTGATCCTGCGCTCGGAGCATGACCCCCATGCATCTCTTCTCCGCAGATGCTCTCCTTGCTCGTGTTCATTTCCAGCCTCTTTGTGCAGAGAGCAGCGTTTTGCCCTCTGGGTGCAGGGCCAAAAAAGTTTCCGTCTCAAATCAGCCTGTGCTTCCCACTCACAGGAGTTGCCAACCATGTTCCCTGCCAGCAGCTTGGTGCCATCGAGCCCTTGGCCCAAGTGTCTCACACCTCCGTGACTTGACATGGCGAGGACCTGCCTCCCGCTGTTCAGCCCATCTCCCCCCACCAGCGCAGGCTCTGCACGGCTCGGGAGCCCGCCGGCATGAGAGCTTGCGTGGGGACCTGTGAGTTAGGGGGCTCGCAGGGTGTGCTGCCCCCTCGCCTGGGAGGAGCAGTGGTTTGCTGTACTGCTGCACCGTGGCCCTGTGCCCACCCCAGCTTTGCAGTGTTTAATGAAGGTGAGCAGGCATATTTATGCCTGGCCTTGGGTGAAGGAGGAGGCTTGCAGCAAAGCCGAGATTAGGGGACGTAATTGAGGACAGAGAGCAAATAAATAAAGAGAGGCCTGGAACGCCTGTCTGCTCGGCCGGCCTTGGCCGTGCTGGAGGATGCGGGGCCGGCACGCACCTACCCCGAGGCAAACATTGCCTCATCCTGCACCCTCGTCCCGCAGCATGGCAGTGTTGGAGATCTGCCGGGCGCTCAGGGGCCCAGGCTGCCCTTCTCCCTCACAGGAAAGGTGACCCGCTTGGGTGGAAACACCCCGCAAGGTGTGTTCAGCCCACCTCGTTCCTAGCTGCTGTTTAATAAGCATGGTGCCGTAGGAGGCCTTAATGGCGTAACAGCGTGCAGCAATGAGAAATGCTCATGGGAGGCTGTTTTGCAGGCTGGGTGTCATGAAAAAGCAGTGACAAAACAGGTACAGCTGCCAAGAAGGTAAGGGATGGTGGCTGCTTCAGTTGCTGATATCCTGGTCAGCCTCAGTGTCCTCTTGCAGTCCCTGCCTGCAGGGCTGCACAGAGCCCGGGGGTCAGCTCTGAGTCCTTCCCAGATGTTATCTCTCTAACCTTGTTGTAAAAGCCATCCCATGACAGTGACTTCATCTCTCCCCCATCCCTGGCAATCACTGGCTGCTCAGCCCTGCTCTTGGGAGGTTTGATTCTCCTCAGTGTCAAACCTCAGACTCTCCTGCTGCAGCAGCAGGCCATGTGTTTTTACCCCGTAAAAACGTTTTCTGAGGCTTGGCAGTCTCCCCTTGTCATCACTGAGTCAAACAGTGGATGTTTAGGCCCCTTGTAGTCTTGGCGTGCAAATCCAAGCCAACTATCTCTCCAGTCTTCCTAGTTCTTCCTTTGGAATCACCTTGGAATACCTCTTTTCCCTGCAAAACCCTGCGTGAAGACTTCCCTTCATCTGCCTGCTCTGTGGCAGGCAGGGTTTGCTTCATGCTGTGTGGATTTTCCTTGGATGACTTATGCACTTGCATCCCAGTCACACAGGAAAGGTTCCTCCCTAAGCCTGCGGAGCAGCTAATGCACCATCGCGCGATGTGGGGTCAGGAGGAATGACTTGGCCTTCTGTATCTTTGCTCTTTCCTTGTGGGACTAAATGTGACCCTGCATGTTTTTTCCTCTCTTTCTAGTATGTTTCCCAGTGTTATCCCAGACTGCGACCCCACCATTTCTCCCAGACTTTATCACACCTGTATGGCACCCATCTCCGTAAGTACGTGTACCACCATGTGGGCAGTGGGTTGCTTGCCTTGATGCCGTGTATGCTATCCCCCAGCTCAAGTCATGCATCTCTACTAGAAAACGACGGTAACGTGACACTTCCCCTTCTGTGTAGATGCCAATATTGGTGCAGGATATCAGCCTGGGTTCTTCAGTTGTGTGCAAGCAAGGTTTGAGCTGGGAAGCCATAACGGGGGGCTTGTGGACCTCCAGCCTTTCTGGATTTGGCCAATAGACAATGAAAGGTTTTGATTTTCCAGCATGATCCCCCTGAGGCATTTAGATCTTGGAGCAGGTGGCCTCTTTCCCATCCAACTTCTCAAGGATTGAGTCCTGTCTGTTCCTACTTCAGAGATGGCTGCATTTAGGGTGCTGGTTGGAGATGGTGTCTCAGAATAGGCCCCTGTCCCATAGCAGCATGTCTGAGCTCCCCATCCCTCCCCTTTGGTATATTTATTGCCCACTCGACCTTATTTCCCCTCTTCTGGCAGCTGGCTGTGCTCATTGGCTTGTCCCTGCTGGTGAAACGCAAGCGTCTCCACCCGAGCTGCTGGAATGGCGTCCCTGGACTGCTGAGGTACCCAGTCCTACCCAGTGCCTTGGCCCCGCTGCAGCATCCGATTCAAGGGTCTCAACTTCGAGGGTCCCAGCCTTAGCCTCTCTCTGTCATGGGGCCTTGGTGTCGCGCAGCAAAGGGAGTGGTAGGGTGTGGAGGTGCAGCCCCCTGGCTGGCATGTGATAAACCAGCTCTGGGGTGGTGGAACCCCCCCACCGAGGGTTCTTAGTGCCAAGCTAACGCTAACACTCTGCCCTGCTCTCCCCCTCCCGCCCTGCTTTTGCAGCCCAGCCAATTTTCTGGAGGAGGAGGGAAACCAAGGGCTGGTGGCCGCGGTGTTTGGCATCCTCTTCTCCTCCCTCTGTGTGCTGGTGCTGGACAGTGACCCCCTGCCTCTCATCTCTGACTCATCCCGGCGCAACCATGGTAAGAGTGAGCACTGTCCCTGCCCTGTAGGGTTGGCTTCGAAGCAAGGTGGACACCCTGTTCCTCCCAACCCCAGTTGGGGCAGCCCTTTCCCAAAAGCACTGATTCGCGGCAGGGAGGTCAGCTGGGCTGGACAGGCTGAACCACGCAGCGGGCCTGAGCCATGCAGCAAGCTTTGCATCGAGCTGGCTCAGACATGCCCTCACTACGTGGCCAGGGCCAGCAGTGCCACAGGACAAGGTCCAAACCTGTCTGGGGGTGGCAGGAGTGAGGTCTTCCCTGTGGCCTCCCCCAGGCACCAGCGATGGGCTGAGGCTGCCAGAGCCCTGGGCCGGCTGCTGCGGCTGGAGGAGGAGACAGAGCTGTTATAAGTGACATCCTTGCACTGGCCTGGCCCACCAGGGTCCAGCTTTGCGTGGCATCTTCCACCCCTCTCTGCAATCTGTACGCGTTACTTTGCCTCTTCATCCTGAGCCGAACTGCGAGCGCTTCCTTCTCTTCCTTGCCTGTTTTGTTTTCTCTCCTCTCTTCCCGCCCTCCTGTCTAGAGTACTGGAAGATCCTGGCTTTGCTCTATTACCCTGCCTTCTACTACCCCCTGGTTGCCTGTGCCACCGTCAGGCACAGAGCCAGCTACCTCGTGGGCTGCCTGCTCTCCTGGTGCCACTGCGTGGTCCATATCTGGCAGAAGGTGGATTGTCCACAGTCGCCTAAGGTACGTGTCCCCCTCCCAGGTGCTCCCTGTGGCCTGCAAGGAGGTGGGAGGCTGTGGCTGGTGGGACCCAGGTCTCGGGGGGGCTTTTTTGTCTCTTGCAATGGGGATGCATTGGAGGGAGGCTCAGAGAAGTGGTTTTAAGGTGTGCCATAGGCACACGTGCTCCTGCCCAGGGCTAGACCCCAAGGCTGGGGAGGTCTTGCATGTAACAACTCTCCCTCTCTCCAGATATACAGGTATTACTCCGTGCTCTCTTACCTCCCTATTATCTTCTGTCTCGTGATCTTAAGTCTTTGGTATCCAGCCCTGCTGATCCGGAGCTTCATGGGGCAGGAGGAGTCCTTGGAGAAGGAGGTAAAACCTTCTGGTACCCTTGTAGATGCATGTGCTGTGTGGGGAGGGTGACAGCGTGGGGAAACCCTTCGGTGGACCTTGGCCACCTGCGTGGTTTTGGGAATGATGGTACTGGTTCATGGCACAAACTTGCCTGGCTCCCTGGGGATGGGAGAAGTTTCCCTGTCCCCATCCCTCAGCTCTCCCACCCGTCGGCTGTCCCCGCGGGCCCTCTGATGGCAAAGGAACGAGCAATTTGCAGCTCTGTTTATCTTGCTGGATTTGAAGAGAGTGAAAATCCATCTTTGGAGTAAACTCCTTAGCGCAAGAGGCTTAGGCATCAATGCGCCCCATTCAAGCTGGGACTGGGGGAGTGCTGTTTTCCCAGCAGGTTGGAGGTAAGCAGTGATAATCCAGAGGCCTTTCGGAAATGCCGGTCTTTGTTGAGAGAAGGGGAGGAGAAACCTACTTCAAAACAGCCATCGGCCCAAGCGTGGACTGAAGTGACCCTCAAGCGTTTGCACTAAGCTGGCTGGTGGAAATGAGCTTATTCAGGCTTTGCTTTTTGGCCAGAGTGTCGTGCCGGCGATGCTGGTTTTAGGCGTTGTTGTTTATGGGAATAAGGCAGATTTCTTTCCGCCTTCCAGGCGCCAGAAGGTTTGCTGCTAGCACAACGAAAATAGATTTGTTAGGTGAACGAGGGCTTGGTTAACATCTCCGGGAGCCGCAACCTGCCCCAGGCACGGAGGGCACCCACGAGGCGTTGTGCTCTGGAGGGATGCCCGGGGGACAGCAGCGCAAGGGGACGGCTGCTGGCTGAGATGGGGACGCACCGTCGGCAGCTCTGTACCAGCCCCCTGGCCTGGGGTGGGGGAAGTAGCATCCAAAACCGGGGCCCCCAAAGGTAGAGTCGCCTCTCCCTTCTGTCCGAGTGTCCCATGCTCAAATCGGGCAACTTACTGCTGCTTTGCTTAAGGTTACAGGGAGAGGCTATTATAAGAAGTACCTCAAGTCTATCCTGTCCAAACGATCTCAGAAGGACAGGTAAGGACAGCACCTTCCTGCTGGACACCTGGGGAGGGGGCCGGTGAAGCAAAAAGAGCTGTGTAGCCCATAAAGGCAAGGCTTTTCGTCCCCAGTGCGTGCCCGTAGCTCACCCTCTGCATGATCAGAGTGTGCCTGTGCCACCCCTGCCTGGCTGCCTCTTGGGCACCTGCTGTCTGCAAGGGGGACAGACTGTCCTCCCCCCATCATGTCCCCTCCCCTGTTCAAGACATACTTTTCACTCTCTTCTTGCTATTCCTCCTCTAGCTCCACGAAGATAGAAAAGAGCTGCTTGTCAAGGGTCCGGACGTATTTGTGCTCCTATGTCTATGCTCCCCAAGAAGGTAGGGTATGGGCTTGCCCGGGATGTGCTCTTTGCTGTAGTAGCAGCTCGGCGAACAGTCTGCTTCCCCCGGGGAAAGCAAATGCCTTCCTTGGCTCTCGCGCCAAAGCATCTGTGCCGTGACAGCTGCCGCCCGGGACACGTGCGACGCCTCGGCTTGCACAAACTGTTGCAGCTCGGGATGGGGAGATGGAGCAGGGTGGTGCCAGGAGTTTCCTCCTGTCCCAGGCTCCCCCCGAACGCAGGCTGCAGAGCCCATTGGGACAGGAAGGAGCTTGGTGCCAGGCCTCCTGCCTCCTCCTGTGCCTGCCCTGCTTGGTCGGGATGGGGGAGATGGTGAAGTTCAGGGATGGGTTTTGGTAACGTTGCAGCTGATGCTTGCTAATGTTATAAGTCAATAAAATCCCCAATAGGGGAGTAATAGGGAATCACTCAACCCTCTCTCTTCATGCAAGAAGTAGGGGCTCTCAAGGGAGGCGGCACCCAAGGGACGCTGCTCTGCCCTTGACGCACGCCCTGCTGTAGGGTGCTGTGGGCCCACAACGTGTGGTGGAGTTGAGGGAAGGGGGGGACACCCTGAGAGAAGGGAAATGCAGCCAGCTGAAGGATGGAGAAATCGCTTCTGGCTCCTGAGCCTTAAATCCCTGGAGGCTGGGAAAGTACTGGGGGAAATATCAGCCAGTATGTGGCCACGCTGTTGTAGCGCTCTTCCCTGGGCGTTGACTTTGGCCGCTGGGTTGGACGGACCCACAGCCCGCTCTAGGACTGCGGTTTCCCTGCTCCGATCCCAGAGCTTGGCTTCTCCATAATACACACCTCCAATTCTGCATTCACAGGTTTCCGGATCCCGCTGAAGCTCGTCCTGTCCATAACCACGTCTGTGATCGCTGTGTACCAGGTGACTCTGCAGCAAGCCTCTCTGGCCGTTTCCTCTGGGAGCAGGGGAGCGCAGAGGGCATTGCTGTGGCCCCCCAAGTGCAGCCCAACTGCAGGACCCCAGTAGCACGGAGGAAGGACTGTGCGACTGAGGGTTGGGACAGGCCTTTGCCAGGGATGGTATTAGCGTGCCTTAAGCGTGCCATCCCTTGTCTGAGCTGCGGTGCCTGGCCATGTGCTGCCATGGCTTAGCCAGCCTTAAGTCTCTAAGCCAAACTGGTGGCTTGTGGTCACCCTGCCATATTCTCAGTAGTGGGGTGCTGCGACATTGGGGCTCACATATGCCTTAGGAGAGCCACTGCAGCATCACCTTGGCCTCTACCGGGGCTGTTGCCTCTTCTCTAGCAGGGTCCCTTCTTCCTAGCCACAGGGAGACCTGGATGCTGGGCTTCTTACCCACTGCTGGGGCTGGATGTCACCCATCCAAGCACTGGCTCTGCAAGTTGCTGCCCGTCTCCTTGTCCCAAGGCGCTGCCTTGGATGCTGCCTTTTGCATCTTTAGTTTGTACCTCTTCAGATCTGCTCCTTTCCACTGGCCGTGGAGCTTCCCAGCCCTCCCTTGTCCCCTTCCTGTGAGGCAGAAGATGGAAGTGTCCCCAGCCCATGAGAGTGGGCAGGCCCTTTCCCAGGGTACTGCTCACTCGGGCATCCCTTGCAGGTAGCCCTGCTGCTCCTCGTGGCCGTCGTTCCCACTATTCAGATCGTGCGGGCGGGAATGACGAAGGACGTGGTCGTGCTGCTGGTCCAGTTTGGCCTGGTGCCCTCGGAGAACCCCGGCGGCGTCCCGGGTGACATGGAGATGGAGCTCAACACTGTCAAGTACTACCTGTGGTCGGTGGAAGGTGGGTGGCTCTGTCCATACTCGCCCCCCTCAGTCCTGTCCCTAGCCTCAATCTGGGGGCCAGCAGCCCCCTCCAGTCCAAACAGCACCGTGAACTCCCTTTCCCATCCCTTCCCAAATAATGTGTGTCCCTCTCCCTGCATTACACAGCCATCCGATTCAAGGCAGCCTGTTTGTTTTGGTGACAAGAGCTATCTGTGTGCATGCCTCGCAAGCCCTTTAAGCGTGCCGTGCCTCAGTTTCCCCACCCGTATGACTCACGTTCCCTTTCCTCCCGGAGGTGGCATGGAGAGATGCATCGGGACCTGGGGTTGCGCGGCAAGCAGAGTGGACTGGAGCGCTGCCCCGGGAACAGGCTGAGTTTCTCCCAACCTCCCCTGACTGGGTAAAGCAGGATGCACTTCCCGACCCCTCGCAGGCTGCGTTTGAAGGCTGAAGAGTTGAAAAAAAAAAAAAAAAAACAACCGCCAAAAAAAAAAAAAAAAACCAGCTGCCTCTGCGCAAACCTGAGCCGCGAAGACATGAAAGGCAAACGCGCGAGCCTGGTCGTGCGCCAGGCATCTCCGAGGGGCTGCTGAGTGCCAAGAGCCGAGGAGGGGAGAGCCAGCAACCCTGGGCGGCAGCTGCTGTTGTTCAGGCGGGCTTTGATATGTGCTGGAATTGAGCAGATGGCACCTTGTCTCCGTAGCTCCAAAGCCCCCATGCGGAGCCGCGAGGGGGGATGAGCTAATTGAAAGCCCTGGACGGGGACGGGGTGCAGGGCTGTCAGGGAGACTGCTCTGCCTCGATGGTGTAGCCCTCAGGTCCAGCCAGCCAAGGAGGCCTTTCTACAGCCCTTCCCAAATCACCGAGTCTCTCGTATCCTTTTTACTGGCTTTGCTTTCCTGATGCGTCCATCACTCTTGCCATACCTCCTCCTTCCCCCGCCGCTTGCTTTCCCCGTGCATCCCTTTTCTTGGGAACATCTTTCAAGGCTCTTTCCTTTGCACTGCCTATGACGTCTTGCTCAGTCATATTTCCAATGCTGAGCTATCCTGGCTGCCTGCATCTTTCCACTGAGCGTGTCTCACCAGCGCTGGCAATGTTATCCATGGGTGATGGAGAAGGGTCTCCCTGCATTGCAAAGGGGCTGGAGAGGGAAACTGAGGCACAGTGCAGATCCAGACCATGCCTATGGGCATTTCCATGCATCACTTAGCCCCCTGCAATGTTCCTGGATTGTGCATGCAGCTTTTGAGCTATTTTTCCAAATGAGCCTGGCAATTCCCCTGAGACAAAGCACAGCTGTGAGATCAAGTGGTGTTCGCCATGGGGCAGAGAGGCCAGCGCAGCCCCGGGCTGGGCTCCAAGCAGGGCGGACACAGCGCTCAGCTCGTGGGACAGGGATTGCTCCTGTCTCAGGGGGAGACGCAGGCTGGGCCTGGGGCATCTGGGGCAGACCAGGCATCCGCCCTGTCTCACTGGGTGCAAAATCAAGGGGACAAACAGCAGCTCACCATAAAGGTGAAGGCACCAAATAACGTGAGCTGGCACCGGTTTGCCCTTGCCTGTCCCATTCCTTGAGCTGCCCCGCTCTGATGCTGGCTGTCTCCCCCTGCTCTGTGCAGTATGTTACATCTGCTCCTTGGTGCTCTGCTGCCTGCTGACGTTTGCCATGTTGATGAGGACCCTGGTGATGCACAGGTAAGGTGCCGGCCGCGCTCCCGCGTCCCCACTCCGTCGCCCAAGCTGGGCAGCTGTGATGGAGGACATGGGATCGCTGCTTCTTCCCCGCTCCCGCTTCACGTCCTCGCTGCTGCGCCCTCACCTCCCCGTGGCTGTCGGGCTGCCCAGTGCTGAGCC